AATGCATCATAGCCATGATGGTTCAGGAGAGCTACAGCCTAAGCAGCTACCGCCTAAGCTAAATGCTAGATAAAATAGAGATTTGTATTTAGCCCCATATGTAAATGAAAACCGTCACTTAAAGGAGTGGAGGAGGGCTGTAAACTGAAAGCCAGTAGAAATTATCAGAAGTAACTTCAGAATGTTTTGAAGCTACTTCAGATAACCTCTCCCTCCTTCAGTCCTTTTAAGTGATTACTTTCTTTACACAAGTTACTGCTTTACCTGGTATTTAGCTTAGGCTGTACCTGCTCCTCGGATCTGAGGAAGGGCACTTTGTACCTGAAACCTTGTCTAACACTTCTCCCAACTAATAAAATAACAAATAAAAGATTATCAGAAATCCTGCTTTTCTGAATTAACTTTAGTCTGTCTTCTGGAATCTTTCATAAGCACTGCTTTTCCCCACCCATTGAAACCCCATCCTGCCTATCTTTAAATAATTATTTAAAGATAACTCATTTGCTTGAGTCAAGAAAATGACTAGTTTGGGGGAATCAGGTGCTCTGCATCTCAAATGTGATGTCTGAGTTGTTTTGGATGAGGCACAAATGATGTATTAAAAATATTTAAAAAAATGAACAATTCTTGTTTTGCCAGGGGGTGTCTCTAACAGCTCAGAGAGCTGCTATTGTTGTTGGAGTGGAGCTGCCGGTTTACGATCTTGCCAAGAAGCATATAATCATGTCTGGATTCATGGGAGATACTGTGTATACTCACTTCCTGTAAGTTTGCAGGTAGAAGGATAGATGTTTCAAAGCATTTCACAGAGAGTAAATTACATATGATTAAAGTTGATGTTAGTGGCAGGTGAATGGCTAAATCCCTATGCATTGCTGTGGGATTTATCCCTTGATGTTTGACGGCTCGTATGTCTTAGAAACACTTTTGCTTTTGCAGATATTGGTTTGAAATTGGGGTTGTTTGGAAGGCTTAAAATAAAATGTATCTGCTAACTTAAAAATAACCCATTTAAATGTGTACCACCATCCAGTCTTTAACCTGTATGCATACCTGGTCTTTACCTGTGTTATGTGTTTGTTTTGTTTCTTTTGCTCCTTCCCCACCTCCACCACACTTAACTTTACTTTGGGGTGTGGAAAAATAATAGTTTGTTAATAGGAACACAGACACAATTTCTAGCTAGAATGTTATAAACATTTTTGTTCCATTGGGTGTTTATATACTGTAAAAACTTCGGGGGTTTTATACTAAAATTGTATATGAAATTGGCTTTCATTAGATCAAGCTTCACCTGTGGGTTAGCTGGAGCCCTTGCATCAAATCCAATTGATGTTGTGAGAACACGCATGATGAATCAGAGAAGCCTGAAAAATGGGACACAATCAGGCTACAAGGGCACTTTGGATTGCTTGTTACAAGTACGTATCATTTGCATAGTAAACAGTTGTATGCTAACTGGGTTCCCAGCACTGCATGGGAAAACTTGCATCTTTCCCAGTTGTAAGAATATACCAATATCTCCCCGTAATGCAAACAAGTATTTAAGATTTTGTTTGTGCAGGGGATGGCCAAGCAGGAGAAATAATGGGCCAAAAGTGAGGGGCCATTTTTAGTTGAGAACAGTATGTACAGTTTTCTTGACAATGAGCATGGAGATGCGCTTAAGATATCTGCCTTTAAAAATGCCTGACATGAAAAAGACTGGCGTTGGTGTCCATATTATCTGGTCTCTTGGAGTTCAGGTAGAAATTAAACTGTTGCTGTAAAAGCAGCTTAACTTTTTTCAAATTTCAAAAACAAGGGGATGGGTGGAGGTTTCTGAATAGGCAGATTTTTTTTTTTCCTTTTTGACTAGCTTTTCATTTTTTCATGTTTTTGATATTATCTGTTGCTTTACTTTGATTTAGCCTTTGCTGTTTTCAGTTGCAGGGCATTAAAATTTAAAATATATGAACTTTCAGAAATGTTGCTAAGCAAGTGTAGGGCAGTTTATTTATGTAGTAGAGAGCAGGCAGAGTTACAGTGGGGGTCTCTGTCTAGTCTGACAGCTGGAACTTTAAACTTTTTGATTACCAAAAACCATTTCTTTGGTATCAGCGAAGAGCTGGCTATGAGGAGTAAGATTAAAAAATATCAGTTTCCCCTGGAAGATTTTGAGGAGTGAAATCCAATGTCTTTTGGTTTGGATTGGATGGGCACCCTTTCATGGGAGACAGACTTTGTCCCTGCCTTCCAAACTGGATGCCCTAATCTGCAACATGACCAGTCTTGTTGGAGGAGCACTGTATGGCAGAACTCAGCATGTAAAAGATTAACTCTTAGACATCTCATTCAGTGGAAGGGCTTTGTATTGCCATTCTAGATTCTTATTAATATAGAATTTATTTTCCAGACATGGAAGAATGAAGGCTTTTTTGCTTTATATAAAGGATTCTGGCCAAATTGGTTAAGACTTGGTCCTTGGAATATTATTGTATCCTTTTTTTCAACAATGTTCAAAAATATTTTTTTTGCATCTTTTTTGGTGAGTAGTGGGCCTTCATAGGAGATATGGTGGACTAGTGAAATGTGCTTCATATAACATTCTGGTGTGTTTGACTGTATTTTTCTAACAGGAGTAATATTGGCATGTATTCATGTTCTCTAAGATTCTAAACACAAGGTGAAGTTTTAATATGGTTTGTCTCATCTGTTTTAAGCACTTTCATTTTCTTTAGCCTTCGATTTCCTATTTGTATGTTTTACTGGATTGGGATTTAGTTTATATATATGTGACCAGGTCAATCAGCAGTTTTGGAAATTATGCAATATAACTGTGGCAGTTTCCTGAATTAATGGAACTACAGATGGTCATAAAATCTTTTCGTACGTCTCTTTCTACTCTGCTGTACAACTTACACAGTATACCATTAGCCATCTGTTTTTCCTTCTGCTCTAATAGTTGACTAATGAATTCTTTATGAAGAGGCAGTTTTATTTTTCTCCTTTCTTTTTACAAACAACATTTATTTAGCAATATAGTTGCTTCCAGTGAAAGGTTAAGAGGCACAAGGGTCCAAGAGTATCTCTCCCAGTGTGGCTTCTAGCCTTTCATTAGTTGAATATCCAAAATGCTTGAGACAAAATTGGAGAAGTGCTTGATCATGTGAAGAGAAGAGCTTAGGGGTGAGGCCAGCATGCTCTGAAGCAAATTTTCCTTGTTCTGTGCCCTGGGTGCCAGAGGACACTGTAGCAGCTGCTAGAGGGAGTGACAGTTCACTACTATGTACAATATTTGAGGGCAGAATTGCAGATCAAAGCTTTATATATTTAAAATCAATTTAATGCAAAAGACATTATTCATAACAAATATTTTTAACAGAAAATGCTAATTATTCATCTTCCTTGACTAATTGCTCCAGTTCTTTGTGACATATGAACAGCTGAAGAAATTGGATTTCTGACAGATGCTAGATTGTCTGTTGCATCAAACTGTGCTTCTTTGGCATTTGAACTTAGGGCAATTTAAAAAATGCTCTTTAGTGTTTGCTTGCATCAGGCACCTAACATGTTGACGGGAAAAAGCAAGTGGATCATCATAATGTTGGACTGTCCAAAAAGGTCTCAAAAAAATGGTGGATGCTGTAATGTTACTTAACTAATATGTTAGAACCCAACCACCAGCTCTTGAGATTGAAACTAAACTTGATAGAATTCCTCTACAAGAGACACAAGTGCTCTAGGACATAAAATGCATGACAACTCATACATGTAAAAGCTTTTCTGGCTGCTTACATTGCACTTCTGGACAATAGGAAAATAGCTACAACAATGCTTCTCCAGAGGTAGGTATAGGTTTTGGAAGTACCAAGCTCTTTGGTCTTCTTCCTGAACTGGAGGTAGTAATATGGTCATAAATGGCTGATTGCAACTTCTTTTGAAATTTTGGATGCTTCTTAGTTCAGATGTTTCATGGTGAAAGGACATTTTTCGTAGTAATTCAGGCTATAATGAGTTGTATTCTCTGTAAACTGACACAAACCAAATATACTTTCAAAGTATACTTGTTAGGGGATTTAAATGTTGCAAAATACTTTGTCAAAAGCTAAATGTGCTTCTGGGTTGAAGACCTTCTGCCTGTTTCGGGAGTAACAAGGTTTAATTAAAAAAAACAAAACCTTGTTGCTAGGATTCGTCACAATTCTGTGTGGTTTAAGGAAATTCTGGCTTTTTTAAGATGTGACATTAGCATATAATATGGGGGATTTTTGCAGAAATTAGTCGGTAAATCTTAATCTGAGAAGTCAGTCTTTAGTTCCCCTTCTGCTTACTTTGCTGAGGGAATTCATTTTTTTTCACCCTTGTTCCACTGTGTGAAAGGAGTGATTACTTCCAGCAGTCATGGCTTCATGTGTCACTGGAAGGATGCATGCCACAGTTGGACAAGTGAGGAAACGCAGGTGCCAGTGTATGGAGAGCGTAGACTCAAAAGACAACTTAATGCAAATGCTACCTTCCTAAACGAGAATTACAGGAAAATTCTGTTCTTCACTGCTTTCATTCAGCAAAATAGGTCAAAGTTGTTGTTACACAAACATAATATTCAAGACAGTGGGAGTTGATTTCTAGGTAGGGTGTTTACCGTTGCCTTCAAACAGGCAACCAGTGCTGTCAAACTAAACACAATCTGTGTTCAGATTCCTGAAGAGACTCTTCAGTGTGTTTAGTCATAAACAGGGAGTGGTGAAGTGCAAGAGTGAGAAATGCCTCTTCTGTGCCTCCAGAAGATGGTAGTGTTGGGTCATTTATGTGCAGTTACTCATAGTGTGTGGATATCTCATCTGGAACCAGTCATCACAATAGGTGCTTAATCATACATTCCACTTAAAGCAATTGTTTGATTGTGGATTTCACTCTTACTAGTTCATTGTTAAAGTGGCTAAGTCTGAAAGCACAAAGTAGATATTTTTTTTAAATGCACAAGGCACTTTTCTTTTGAGAACATCCAGAGTTAGGATGATGTTGTTTTTTAAAGTATTTTTGAATATTTAAGGTAAAACTACGGTGCAAGTTCTGCTCATGTGCACTAATAGTTTTTCTTTACTGCTATTCGTACACATACACATCTTTCTAAAATATTTTTGTACCAAATGAAAAAAAAACAACAAAATTTGTATGTGTGTATGTATTTAAAGTGTTGTTAACCCTATGCATGCTGTCTTTAGATTGAACACGAGTAAAGAACATTATCCCTAAATTGAGGAGGGATAATTACTTGCAAATTCTGTATTACGAATGAAACCTAGGGATAGTTGCGGGTTGCTTAGGTATACGTTTAGTAAGCAGAAAATGCTGTTGCTATAAACTGGGCGCTGTAATTCATTTAGCTAAGCCAAAATGGTGTACCTTAAATATTATGGAAATATGGGCTAATTCAGTAAATTAAGAGTAAAGAATCTGTTGTAGGAGATCTGGCTTAAGATAACCTGTTTCCAGGTCTGAAAATGGATCTCTATGAATGTGTGGGGTACTAAGAAAATGTTGGACCTCCCAGTGCTAATAATCCAAAATTGATATCTGATTGCAGGAGATTCCTGTGGGAATATTGAAATCTAGATACTAATTTTAAATATTAAGAAGGCCCTCATGGTAAGGAAGAATACCATAATTAGTGGTTCTAAACCTTTTCTATACCATGATTTCACATTCAGCAAAGGTTTTGGGACCACAGTTCTGTCATGCTTTAAAGAAGAGAGTGTTTACAGTTTTTCACAGTGAGAATCTGTGTTGAATATTGGAACAATTGGCTTCAGTCTTGAATTATGTGAGGGCATTAAAATATATATAGATATTTGCAAGCAATGTCAGCTGTTCTTAAACAACTTATGTTAAAAGAAATGTCTCTTTTAAAAGTATAGAATTCCATACTTAAACATTTAACTTTGCTTTAAAAGTTATCACTGCTGTAATTGTACTTAGCTTACACATTTTTAGCACTGACGGAATGTCAGCAAAATTTAGAACCTGAGCTCCCTGCAGGAATGGTCTACTTGACTTTTTCTGGAATGTCTGAAAATAAACCCCCAAATGATCATGCCTGATATGCAGGATGATCAAGCTACCCTAGTTCTTTGTGCTGAAGTTACATTTGTGGACGTGTATATGCAAGTGCACTAACTTCAAATGGTATGCACTCAGCTGGCAAGAGGCATATATGCACTTAATAGGGCAGCTCGTCCTCCTGAAGGGTATGTGCAAATGTTTAAGTAAATAACCAAATCAGTTTTCTTCCATGCAAAAAGATCATTGTAGGAAGATCAGCATTGCATCAGGAAGATCAGCATTGCATCATTTCGGGTTCATGTTGTCATGTTTTGTGGAATACTGAACATGTATTATTCAGCCCACTTTTCAGCATTAATAGTTTCTTGTGCTAGTGAGGTTATTTATTGACATGGAATGTGAGAGGAAAAAGTGCCTTTCTTAAGGTTTTATTCTTTCAGTTACTTTTGTTGATGTCCTATTTGAATGGGAAAATGTATTTGTTGCAGTACAATAAAACGCTTGTGGAAAAATGATGCCTCCCTGTCTTAAATGGGTCATTTTACTTGGTTTCCTGCCACAGCAGAAATTACTGCTTAAAAACTATCTAGACCAGGGCCAGGCAAAATATGGCCCGTGGGTTGGATCTGGCTCACCAGGCCATTCTATCTGGCCTGCAAGGCCCCTAAAAATTTTAGAAAATTAACTATCATCTGCCCCTGGCTGCTTGTCAAAGATGACAAGGTGCCAGCTGCAGCAGGACCCAGGGGGAGCCAGCGGCAGGACCCAGCAGCCACAGCAGCAAGTCCTACCCAGCCCCACCTCCATGCCCCTCAGGCCCCAACTGAAAACCTTTACCTAACAGAGGCTTCTGGCTTGGTGACTCGGGGGCGGTTCCCCACCTTCATGCAACTTGGCTAAGAATGCTGGGGGGAGGGGAGGACCACTGGCGATCACCTTAGTCCTTGGGGCGGGGCTGGCTCCTGCTGCATCCTGTGGTCCTGGCAATGAAGCTGGGAACCACATGGTGCCAAAGCGGCCACCAGGGGGGCAGGGAGAAGCAACAGTGGGCAGGAAAACAAGGACATGATGGTTGCAGTGGTGGCAGGTGGGGAGCGAGCGGCAGTGGGCAGGAGCTCAGCAACAGCTGGGTGGGAGCTGGCTCTGCCCCTTTCCCTGCTGGTGCAGCCCGGTCCAGCTCCACAGAGCCCCTGCCAGCCCACATCCTACGCTCCTGGGTCCCTGCCAGCCATGGCCCCGGGGCACCAGCATGGGCCCTGTTCTCCTGTCCAGCTGTTGCTGCACTCCTGCCCGCTGCCACTCTTCTCCCCACCCCCTGCCTGCAGCCGCTGCAATCACCATTTTCCTGCTTTCCCAACCCTTTGCTGCCACTTTTCCCCAGGCCCCTAGCTGCTGGCCACTTTGGCACCATGTAGTTCCTGGCTGCGTCGCCGGACCGCAGGATGCAGCAAGCGCCGGCCCCTGCAATTCACAGCTGGGCGTGTGTGGTGCTGGCTGGGCTGGGCCAGCTCTTGCTGCATTTTGTGGACCCAACCATGCAGTGTGGTGCTGGAGCCAGCTGGCTGGGGAGATGTGGGGAGGAAGGTAGGGAAGCGGCAAGAAAAGGGCAGTGGTGGTAGACGGGGGTGGGGAAAGTGGCAGTGATTGGGTGGGTGGGAATACAGAACCTGTGCTGGTGCCAGGGGCAGGAGCACTAGTAGGGGCTTGGCCTGCTGCAGGCCCTGAGTGCCCTGAGGCCTCACAGCCTGGTGCTGCTGGTGGCAGGGGCTATGGGCACCACCTCCCCATGTACACCCCACACCCCGTCACACACCCTAGCCATCCTCCCCTTCCACACATGACACAACCCTCCCCAGCCACCCTCCCCAATACACTGCCCTCCACAAACCCCATTGCTGGCCTGACACAGCTCGGCTTTTAGCCAGGGAGTAAAGTTCATGTTCCCTGCCCCTCTGCTGTGTGGTTCCATAGGACACTAAATCACACGCAGTCTAATCCAGTTAACTACAGAGAATGGGAAAGCTGAAGAGTAAAATGCAAAAAAGGAAAATAGAAAACAAATATCAGTCCTTGGCTGCAGCAAAATGGTGAATTCATTGCAAAAAAGGATCATATAAAATAGCAACATTACGAGTATGGAATTAGTCCCAAGCTCCTTCCAAAGAATACTTCTGCAGTCTAGCCTTCCTGCAGCTGTATTTTTTGTATTTTTCACAGACTCGGGCAGGCCTCCTTACATCAGTTCATATTGTTAACGTTTCCAAGAATTTCCCCTAAATGAAAATTTAAATCTTTTTTTTCATGTGAGAACACCTCAGTGATGCAAAATTCTATACCAAGGGGTAAATTTTGATGCCTATTTATGGTAGCATGAAATAGGCATTACCCAGGAGGGAAGGTGTTAATAGGCCTATGGGGAGCAACCTTTTGAGCAGGCATGTCACAGATTAGGCCTGCACCCTCCCCAAATGCCACTCTGATCCACTTCCCCTGCCAGATCTGCTCTGCTTTTTGTTCCCAGTCCAGGTTGCTGCTATGTTATGGCAGGTTGGCCACTTCTGTTACAGACAATTAGGACATGTCTACATATTGCCGGATGGTGACATTGCTGTGGAAGTTCCTTTTGGAAGTACTAGAGCATGGCACAGTATGGGTAGTTACTACACTATGCGCACAGCACACGAGTAGATTTCGCTGCTACATTGCCATAGTGGCATGCTATATATACCTGGGGTGTGTGCCACTATGGTGACATAGCTGGCAATCACGTATAGACATATGTGATCACTATGTTGCTGTAGTGTGCTGTATGGAGACGTAGCGCATCGCTATGTCCCTGTGTGCCCTTAGGGTAAGAAAGCTAGTATTATGGTAACTACAATGTATTGGTAGCTGACAACTCCATGAAAACTTCAGTTTGGCCTAAATTGTAACAAGCTATCTATCTTGCCTAAACAAAGCTAATTAGTCATAACTTCTAGAAATGAATATTTGGGCACTTAATTAACATATGCAGAAATGCTTAAGAAACCATCCCTGGATCTTACAGCTGCACCTCCTGAAATGTAATATATCTCATCCAATGTACCAAATGCCCTGATGGAAAATATGTAGGAGAGACCAAACAACAACTGCGCACCAGAATGAACGCACACCGGAAATCTATCAAAGACAGAAATACCCAATTACCGGTGGGGGCACATTTCTCACAGGAGGGCCACTCTCTCTCCAATCTCTCAGTCCTGATCCTCAAGGGAAACTTACACAACACTTCCCAGAGACGAGCCTATGAACTCCATTTCATCAACCTCCTGGATACTAGAGATCATGGACTAAACATAGACATTAGATTTTTGATACATTATAACCTGCCTGGCAACTGACTCCCCAGCCCAGCCGCTGGCTTCTTTACTTTTCATTCCATCCAGGAAGAGCACACACCAACTGCTGAAACTTCCTTAGCCTGACGAAGGGTTTTTGAACCCGAAAGCTTGCTTAATAACTATTCTCCAACTATTTGGGTTGATCTAATAAAAGATATCAAATTCACCCAAGGAACCTTGTCTGCCTAAGAAACCATTGTTTTCAAAAACATATTTTGAATTTGTTTCAATCAATCCTACCCTTATATAAAGTGGCATGGTTCTTAAGTTTACATTGAGCATACTGGTGGTGTGTGTGCTTCTGAAATTATGACAATAGCAGAAGTACCTCGTAAGAGAAATCAGGGTTTTTTTTAATTGAAATAAGAACCAACTGGGGGGCTAGCCCAGCCTAACCAAATTGTCCAGCCTTGTTAACCATGTAAGTAGTAGATTTTCTTTGTGAAGCACTACAGGAAACATCACATTCACTCAAGGAAGTTTGTTGTTCTAGAAACTGCTGCAGGAAAGAGCTGAAGTTTCTGTTTTTTTGTTGCCTTTCTTACATTAGTATGGAACCCAGTTCGGAGCCAGAAGGAATGAGCTGAGGTTGTTTTTGTTTTGATGCTTAAGCAAGTAGAGAACCTGAGATGTGAAAATAAGGGCCCTGCTACACATTCAAATAAAAGCTGGCTAGAAACCAACTGTAGAGCTCTT